TTTTGTCTAACCATTCATCTGCTGAAGAATATTTGTTTTTTTCCCAAATTGGAGCTATTATGAATAAAGCTGCTACAAAATTCATGTATACATGTTAAGACTGCATTCCTTTGGGATAAATGCCCATCCAATTGGGTTTTTTAAATTTCTGCTATCATCCCTTGCATTTACAACAGGTGTCTGTTGGTTCTCTTAATGTTACTTCTGAAAGATGTCCTAGTCTCTGTTCATGAGTGTAATACATTATTCCTGTGCATAGGTACAGTCTGTTTCTTGTAAGTTTGATAACCTTTGATTGCTCATATTAAATGCTGGGAATTAAAAAGATGTTTGACTTTGGGGGTGATAGAACTGTGTTTTATCTTGATTCTAATGACGGTTTCAACTGTTTGAACTCATAAAACTGTACACACACACAATAAATCTTCATTTTTCTTTAAGTAAATTATGCCTCAATTAAAGATATTTTTCAAAGTTTGAAAGCTTTGAGCTCATGTTTACAGCAAACTGAATCTGAACTTTACTGTCCAATTATCTAACAGGTAAGTTTATTTGGGGACCTTTATTCAGTATCTTCAGGTCATTCTCAATGGGCTTGTCAGAGTCCCCCAAGAAATCAGACTCTACCAACCTCTGGCCAGACAAGGGTGACCGCTGGTTGCCAGAGTTCCGGGAGCTCAGTGGGAGGAACTGTATTTGCTCATTTCAGGACTGTGCTGGGATAACGCCCACATCTTCATTTGATCCCAGTGCCCCCAGTCAAGAGGATTTGGTTTTATCTATCTCCAGAAAATAACCATCCAGGTATTTACCAGTGTGTGGAAAGTGCTCTGTAGAGTGTCAGGGAGGTGAGAGCCTCACTCTTTCTTAAATGGGCTTTCTGATGATGTCAGTTGGCCCCTCCAAGTCCCTCCCAGAAGTACATGGCATTCCTAATTTTTGAGGCTTGATGACTCTGATGAGAAGTGAAGTTGTTTCTTGACTTTCCCAATACCTGTTTATAACCTTTTTTTTTTTTTTACCACTCATCTATCTCCTTTTCCCCCCAAAATCTCATTGCTGTTTTTCTCCTTTACTATCCCCCTATCCTTGAGAGATTATTTTTAAAGGCAGACCCCTTTCCCTCCACATCACTCTATTGTCTTTGGCACTGAATGTCCTTATAAAAAAGCCTGGGGCCAGGTTGGTTCATTGGCCTTGTGAATGACTAGCTTACCTAGAACATGTTTGTGTCGATCGTGCTACATCAGTTTCTCCTAGAAAATGGTATGTCATTTCAATCTTCAAATTCAGTCATTCTTTAATATTAGGATGCTTTCTTCTGTCACATTTCCGAATACCACTTCTGGACCACTTGTCGGATTTTCCACTGCAAGGTGTGAATTATATTTATGTTGGCTCATCCTTGTTTATGCATATCTATCATCTGTATCTCAACCCTTCCTATGTGATGAACTTTATTCTCAGTCATCTGCTTCTTTTGGTTCCAAGGTATTTGGTAGCTCAGCGATACAGTGGTTTTGATGGTCAACATGACCTTAACAGTCAGTACAGATCTTACTCCCCTGCTCCCTCGTTCCACATAACACGTATTCAGTAGGAAGAGAGTGGGCTGTTTCACCCAGGAGAAACCCCGATATCTCTTTCTTTCTCATTTCTATCTCTTCTCCTAAGTGACAGTATCAGGAATGGAATCACTGCACTGGGGGAAAAACATAGTTTCTTTTTATCTGTCTTCTTTAGGTAATAATTTCCCTAGTGTTGGCAGGGGTGCTTAGCCTCACCTTTTCCATATCATAGTAATAAGCAAGGGGAACTAGAAGCCTACAGATTGTGCCATAAATATGGTGAGTTTTTAGAACAAACCGTAGACCAGTGTGACTGGACCATTATAAGCAGGACAGACAGCAACGTGAATGGCCTGATTACATGATGCCTCTTCTTACAAACAGTGAGGAGTTCAGATAGTATTTTCTGAACACTGGGAAATCATCAAAAAGCCTTATGCTGGGAAAGGGCATAACTGATTTATATATATATATATATTATATATTAAATATATATATATATATTTTAATATTTATTTATTTTTGAGATAGAGACAGACAGATGATGAACAGGGGAGGGTCAGAGAGAAAGGGAGACACAGAATCTGAAACAGACTCCAGGCTCTGAGCTGTCAGCACAGAGCCCGACGAGGGGCTCGAACTCACAGACCGCGAGATCATGACCCGAGCCAAAGTCGGATGCTTAACCGACTGAGCCACCCAGGCGCCCCTGATCTATATATTTTTTTTAATTTTTTTTAACGTCTATTTATTTTTGAGACAGAGAGAGACAGAGCATGAATGGGGGAGGGTCAGAGAGAGGGAGACACAGAATCTGAAACAGGCTCCAGGCTCTGAGCCGTCAGCACAGAGCCTGACGCGGGGCTTGAACTCACGGACCGCGAGATCATGACCCGAGCCAAAGTCAGCCGCTTAACCGACTGAGCCACCCAGGTGCCCCTTTGATCTATATTTTTAAAAGCTCTTCTGGTTGATGTGTGATGACCAGGTTGGTGTGGACTAAGAGTGAGCTGAACACAGGGAGAACAGGAGATGATGGTGGACTGACATAGGCTGGGGAGGGCACGGATGAAAAGAAGCAGGAACACACAAGACATACTCTAGGAGCAAAACTGACAGCACTTCCTGGTGAACTATTGATGGTGACCAACAAGGAAGCCTTAAGGATGGCTCTCAGGTACATCAGCATGTAGAGGGAGTCTTCCCTGGGAACCAAGGATTTTAATAGACTCCCAAAGGAATTCATATTGAAACAGGTTAAAACCTTGGTTCTAGACACTTGAAAATTTTGTATTTTACCAGAGAGCAGCACATCAACACAGCCATATTTTGGCCTCTTCAGGAATTACTTTTTTAATATACTGTGCTGTGGCATTATGCCATGGTATTGCGTTTCTGGCTCTAATAAGAAACAGCTCTATAAAACCCATAATTATATTTATGAAGGGGATACTTTCAGGTGATTGTTCACTGTATCTCAAAGCCCGTTTTGTGAAAACTTGAGAAATCTCCCTCAATTCTCCCTCCCCCAGTCAGGTGGCAGGAAACGCAGAGGTAGATTTTTAGGTTAATTCTAAAGCAAGTCTATGGGACTTCATGGCATGAATTCTGCAAACTAACAAATTCGAGGGTTTTTTTTTTATATTAAATATAATTTCTAACATTCCTTTTTCTTCTAACACCATCCTATTCTTTTTTCTTCCCACCTCAATATCCTCACTTTGAAAAAAATATTATCTATGTGTTTTTGAGAGGCTTCCCCAAGTCTCTTCACACAGGAATTTAAAAAAAATAATAGACCAAATTTCTGATTAGTGAATTTAAAAAATAATAAATAAATAAATGAATAAATAAATAAATAAATAAGAAAGAAAGAGAAAGAAAGAAAGAAAAGGTTAGTTGATCTGCAGTGACCTTAGGAAAAAGGTCCTGACATAATCCCAGAAACCCAGGGAACTCTTTTCCTATAAAGACATTCCTCTGTCTGGCATATAGCCTTCTATGTTCTTCCTCTCATGTGCCTTTCTATCTTAATTTCTCATTAACTTCAAATGTTTTGAACTAAGTGTTAAACCCGTAACTGTTCACACGGCTCCAAAACTCAAGTCAAAGTTCACCACTGCAGAAAATAAATGACCCGTTCCTACAAGGAATTACAAACTCTGATCAAATACTATCCTCTAAAACGTCTGCTTCTCATTGAAAACAACCATCTAAAATAACATTATAAAGTACATATGTAGTTTTAAGTACTCTTCAATCCCAGTGCGGGGCCCAACGTGGGGCCTGAACTCACGACCCTGAGCTCAAGACTTGAGCTGAGTCAGACGCTTAACCGACTGAGCCACCCAGGGGCCCCAACATTATAAAGTTTTAATCATGTATACGAGAAATGTATATAAGGCCACTTAACTAGTGCTGTCACTTAAAGGAATTCCCAGTAACTGAGGTGCCTTCAAGGGAGAAGAACGATATTTCAATTCTCTTTTGCTGAAAACATCAAGTACTAATCATCTTCCTGCTCTTTTTACTCCTCCCTATCCCCCCTATGTTGGAAGGGTGTGCCGAAGAAAACCCGTTCAACCTGTTCATCAAAATACAACGTAAGAAAATATTTACTTAGAAGCTTGTTATGATTGGATGGGGCAGGGGCGACAGGGAGGTGGAAATAAACGTGTATGGAGGACATCTTTTTGGGAATCTGACAGCCCACAGCCCACAACAGGCTGACAACCCTGGGAACTGTCCCACCTCCCACCCCCCTACTCCCCCCCCACCCCCCGCCCACCGGAGGCCATAAACAATGCAGGCTCCCAGAGCCGTGTGGATGTGACACAAGCCTGGCTACTGCCATGTGGAATGGAAGTGGGTGCACGGTTGACCCAATTCGGACCCATCAGATGTCATCTCCCATAATTTGGAATTGAGACTGAGAAACAGTGAGTCAGTTGATTCCTCCTAAGACCAGCACTATGGGATAAACTCGTCTGTCGAAGAAAGGCCATATTTTGGCTGCTATGTGCATACCAGGGGCAAATACAGTCCGTGCTCAAAAAGCAGAAGAATGAACCGCATGCACGCGAGTTGCAGTTCCTGGTTCTTAGCTCTTCCTGAGGCCTTGATCCCCTCCCGCATTCCTAAAAGTTTTATAGTAACTTGTGCTTCCTCGTATAAGCTTACTCCAATAGACGTTTGTCACTTGTGACCCTAAGTCCTAATGCATATGTTGTATGTCTCCCTTTCCCCAGCTGTATTATTATTAGCTAGACAAGGAGAGTTAAATTACTGAATTCCTAATTTTCCTAAAACAGGAATATGATTTCCTACAACACAACCGTTACGGTCATGTGCAAAACAAAAAGCGACAGCAAAGTCAGTTGACAGAAAGAGAACTTCTAAAAAAGTAAGCAGTAAATTAAAACACAATCTTACTTCGAGATTCTCTTTTTTATACATTTCAATAGCTTTCTCTTCAGATAATCCACAGCAGCCGTATTCCAAAGGAGTAAACACTGTAGTCGGAACATTAACGTAATCACACTGAAAGATAAACAAATTACATCTGCTTATTTTGGGACACTTTTCACAGCAAACATCTACATTACATACATCTACAGAAGGAGAACAAGGAAGTCCGGTTCAATGTGACTCATTTTACCCTATCACTGCGTCGGCGCATTCGAAGTTACCCAAAAGGATGGGGCGAGCCCAACTCCAGGGCAGAGACCAGCTCTCCCAGAGCCCACACCCGACTTCCGTTTCTGAAACAGAGCAGTAGGGGCGGAGTGCCTCCAGAGACTCTCTAAAATGTCTTCTTTCCATCCCTGGGATTCCAGACCCCGCTCCCCCGGAACACCTTTACCAGGCAACCAAGAATCACACTACCTTGGTGGGAGCTGAGACCACCCTTGGCGGTTCACGTAACTACAAAGAAGCAGTTCGACAGTGTTGGAGGGGGTGACTGCCCTGGACCCATCAAGGGGAGATGGTGTATGTACGGTGGGGGGATAACGTGGGGACCGGGATCTCATAGGTCCTGTGGTTCTGGCACAACCCCCAGAGAGCCCTTATGAGACTAAGGCAGTGAGTGGACATCTGAGACTAAGGCAGTGAGACTAAGTGTGAGTGGACATCACAGGGAGACTGCAGACCCTGAGCCCTACACGCATCTCCCAGCAGCTCTGTGCACCTGCCTGTGGGAAAGTGAGTGTGAGTGCAGGTGGCATCTCTGACTGGAAGAGGGTGTCTTTGTGACAGCTGGAGGAGAACGGGAACACACTGGCGGAAGTGTCATAAAAACCTTGCGTGGAGAGAAAGGGTGCAGCAGCACAGAAACGATAGAGGGTTCAACCAGAGATAGAGGTCTCTAGGCCCGTCCATCCATAGCCCCTCAAGGGGCGACACTGCCCATAGCACTGCGTGGCCCCCCAACCTTGCCAACAGGTTGCTGGTGATTAGGTCAAGGGTGACAAAGAAAGCCAAGGCATGAGCTGGCCAGAAACCTACGTAGAAAAAGATAAGCTACGTTAATGAAATTCTTTCTTTTGCAGGAAGATGAGCTCGAAGCAAAGAAAGAATCCCCTGGTGGCCATTAGGCTAATGGAAGAGCACCCTGTGAAGCAGAGCACCCCCAGGGCAGCCGTGACCCCAGACCCAGTTCTAGCTCCAAACGCAGTGCGGCCCGGTCCCGGAATGCCGCTTATTCAGAGTCACTGTGCATTGCAACTTACTAATTTACAGGATCCTTGTAAGAAACCCCCTCAGTATGCGTCACGTGAGTGAGTCTCTATTTCTCATTACCCAAGACAAAAACCAATCAACACGCCACCAGGTATCCCTCTATCGGTGAGGTGGACGGTATACGTGGGCCTAGAATCTTTGAGTTATGTGCTCTAATACCACTTCAGTTTTGCTAACCTACAAATCATGGGTAAGCCAAGGATTTTTCTTTTCTTCCACGCGGCTAGAGAAAAATCACATAACCACAGGGACTGCCTTCGTCTTTCCAGACTTCTCTCAGGCCCTCAGATATTCATTGATTCATTTGCAGTTGCACTGTGAATAATGTGGGGGTTGGGGTGCTGAACCCCGATGCAGTCAAAAACCCATCTATGGCTTTTGATCCCACCCCACCCCGAAAAAGTTAGCTACGAAAAGCCTACTGTTGACTGGGAAGCCTTACCAATAACACAGTTGACTAATACATGTTATTATGTTACACGTATCGGATATTGCATTCTCACAATATGGTAAGCTAGAGAAAAGAAAATGTTATTGAGAAAATCATAAGGAAAAGAAAATACACCTATAGATAGCACTGTCCTGTGTTTACTGAAAAGAATCCACTGTAAGTGGACCCACACAGTGCAAACCCTTGATGTTCAAGGGTCGGCTGTATTGACCAGCAACTGACCCCGTGTCCCACGGCTTACGGGGGAGGCTTATTCTCAATGGATGCTTTTTGTCTCTGGTGTCCTAACAATTAAGGATAATGAAGAAGAAATGCCTCAGTGTTCCTTCCTTTCATCTGAAACACTTTTTCCACATCTTAGACCATCTCCTCCAACTGAATTGGACTTCGTCTTGCCTTGCCTGTAGCCTTCCTTTTGGTCCTGTACCTTAATGCTCACTTTTTCTTCATACCCTGACCACACTGCTCCTCAAAGCCACCTGGATTGACTTCTTGGAGCATTAGGCATTACTCTGCCTCCATACACCCCGAAATGCTAACTGCATTGTGACAATGTATGTTCAGCATCCCAGGCCCCACCCATTGACACCTGCAGACCCACATCCTAGCAAGGCTTCCATGTATACGTTCGAGGTCTTCATTCATGACCTCACAAGGCATCTGGCGCGATAAAAAAGCAGAACACAGCATCCTTTACGAAGCATGTATGCTCAGAACGCTTCACCTGAACTGAATCATGCAAAACCATCAGAGAAATTCAGAATAGAGACACTACAAGGAAAGCAGTCTGAATTCATCAAGAATCAAAGTCATGAAAAACAAAACAAGCAGACAATTAAAGGCAGGGGGACGACGCCAATCTAAAAGAGCTTTAAGGGTCAGAAGAGTTGAGTGTGCCACGGTAAGCAAACACGTGCACATGCGCACACGTGATGGACATCTGAGGAAATCTGAACAGTGTTTCATTTTTGTTGAATTTCTCAGATAGAATAAGAGAACTGTGGTTATGGAAGTAAATATCCTTGTTCTCAGAAGATGTGTGTTGAAGTATACAGGTGCCAAAGGTCACTGATGCCTGCCACTTACCTCAAAAAGCTCTGGAAAAACAAAGTACACGCGTGTACACATGCATATTCAGAAAAGGAGAGAGAGCCAAGATGGCAAAATATTAATAATGGGGCGATCTGGAAGAAAGGGTAATATGGGTGATTGTTACTATTCTTCCTGTGGTTTAACATCTTTCTAAACAAAAAGATAGAGGGAATAAAGGTCTCAACAGTCCCCACCGCGTAGAGAAGGCCTTTCCAATTCGTTACTGTGGCATGAGAGGATTTTTTTTTATAAATTTTTTTTAATGTTTATTTTTGAGAGAGAGCTAGAGGTTGAGCGGGGGAGGGGCAGAGAGAGACAAAGAATCTGAAGCAGCCTCCAGGCTCCAAGCTGTCAGCACAGAGCCCGATGCGGGGCTCAAACTCACAGACCTCGAGATCATGACCTGAGCCGAAGTCAGATGCTTAACCGAGCCACCTAGGCACTCCTGGAATGCTGTAGGTATGGTGGAAGGGACAGTTCCTCGTGTGGAACAGAACATTTAGCATTCCTCACCCCCACCCACGCCCTTCCTCCGCCAACACTTGCACATGTCCAGAGTGCTCTCATGGAGTGGGGCATGACGTCTCCAGTTGGGAACTCTAGCAGACTGCTCACAGTCCTGGAGCAAACCAAGCCCTGCTGAGCTCTGTGCTTGCCTCTGCATTATCTACTTACCAGAACAGTCCTGTGCTTCCTCAGTTTTTAATTATTCATCCTGCAAAGCCCGTACCACATCTCTGATCGAACGCAACGAAAGGTGCAGGACATGGTAGGAATCATCTCCGTCACACTTGGCAGAGGCGAAACTGAGGCAAAGAGACTTGAAACAACCTGACCAGGTTCACACACACACCAGCAGGCACTGAAGTCAGGGCCAGCAGCCATCCACCTGGGACACCTTTATCAGTCCAATCAGTCACAACTAATTGCCCCTTGTCTTACCTTACTCATAATCCCCCACCCGCCTGGGAAGCCCTTTGGCACTGGATCCATGCCAATCCTTCGTATATCACCCAGCATCTTGCACATCTTGCCATCTTGCACATGGCAGGCACTCAAACAGTATTTGTTGAAAATCATTAGTAAATACTAATTTATCTGTGAGGAACCCTTTACTTGCAAAACAAGCACACAAGTGTTGATTCTTTTAATCGCAATTTTGATTTAGATATCATCTCAAAAACGACAGCAGGAAACTCACCTTTTCCAAACAGCCCCCAAAAAGTCTTCGAGCCAGCAGCTTGCCTGCCTGTATGGCAACGGGTGTGAGCTCAAGTTTACCCTCCAGAATATCCCCAACAGCGTACACGTAGGGCACATTGGTCTGTTCCACATCGTTTACTGGAATTTTGCCAGTCCTTGCAGATTTTGGGAAGGAAACAAAATACATTATGGCTCACTCCATACTGCTGCATGACTACCACTAACTCTTCCAAGAGAAAATGACTAAACACGTAAAGACCTGCCTCCAAGAAGTGATGCACCTCAGGCATCAATGTCTATAACACCAATGGCTAAAATCATAAGGGTTTCTGCAGCTCCAAAAAAGCCACCTTTTGGGTTGGTGAAACCACGCTCATTTTCTAGATGCCAAGGATATCTCCAGATTTCCCCCAAGTCCCACTTAGAGCTTTGAAGTTTTTCTCCTTGCTTGACCAATGACATAAAAATTCACTCTAAATCAAACAGTGGATGAATACATTTCCACAATTTATTTTTTAAGATCACTGTTTAATGTATCAGCTCTTTAAGACACACAATAAAGAATTACTGATTAATGAAAAAAACTGATACTAATAAAGAGCTGGATACTATCAACAATAGCCAAAATATGGAAAGAGCCCAAATGTCCATCGATGGATGAATGGATAAAGAAAATGTGGTGTATATATATTCAATGGAGTATTACCCGGCAAACAAAAAGAATTAAATCTTGCCATTTGTAACTACATGGATGGAACTAGAAGGTATTATGCTAAGTGAAATTAGTCAGAGAAAGACAAATATCATATGACTTCACTCAGATGAGGACTTTAAGATGAACATAAGGGAAGGGGAGCAAAAGTAATATAAAAACGGGGAGCGGGACAAAACATCAGAGACTCTTAAATATGGAGAACAAACAGGGTTACCAGAGGGGTTGTGGGAGGGGGGATGGGCTAAATGGATAAGGGGCATTAAGGAATCTATTCCTGAAATCATTGTGGCACTAAATGCTAACTAACTTGGATGTAAATTAAAAAAATAAATAAAATGGTAAACAAACAAATACTTGCACAATACTTACTGTGAAATAAACTTAAAGTATTAACACTTTGCATCTTAATAACTAAATGGGAATTTCCAAGAGGTGGTCTGTAGAAACATTTTGCTTTGTGCAGCCACAGTGCAATGATCCCATGTGTACTCACTTCTTGTTGATTTTGACACCAATCTTATCCAAGCCCATTTTCCTTGTACAAGAGTCACGACCAATTGCTAACAAAACCTATATTTAGAGCCAGATCAAAACCACAAATTGTCAATATCAGGAATGAGAGAGGTTTGGAACATCACTAGAGATCTTTCAGACATTAAAAGGATAGTAGAATGTTATGAACACACTGTGCCAAAATCATTTCCTCAGTTTAGATGAAATAGATTCCTTGAAATACTGTTCAACCAACTCACACACATGCAAATCTAAGTAACTCTACGTTATGTGCTAACTTATGTCCCCGCCCCCGCCCCCCACAAATTCACGTGTTTTGTCTTAACCTCCAGTGCCTCAGAATGTAATGTGTTTGAAGACAGGGTGATTAAAGAATTAAGGCAAAATGAGGCCATTGGGCGGGGGGGCCCTAATCCAATATGACTGGTGTCCTTATAAAAACACGGGATTGGGAGACAGAAGACACAGACTACAGGGCAACCACCCGAGGATGCAGGGAAAAGGTGCCATCTGCAGGCCACGGAGAGAGGCCTCAGAAGAAACCAAACCTGCTGACCCCTTGATCTGACTCACAGCCACCAGAGATGTTAAGAAACTCAATTCCCCTTGCCACGTTATCTTATGGCAACCCCAGCAGACAAACACACCCTATACTCGTTAGAGAAACTGGATCCACCATTTGTAAACTTCCCATAAATTAACTCAAGACCCAAATGACTTCACTGGTAAGGTCTCTCAAAACTTCAGTAAAAAATAATACTAATATACAAACTTTTCCAAAAAAAAAAAGAAGAGGGAACACTTCCTAACTCCTTTTTATGAGACCAGCATAAACGACTGATACAGAAATCAAACAAGGATATTAAAATAAAATTATAAGCTGATACTCACGAACATAGATGCAGAATCCTAAAAAAAATGTCAGCAAATAAAATACAGTGATATAGAAAAAGGATAATTGGTCATGACCAAGTGGAGCTTGTCCCCCAAAAGAAAATTTGGTTCAACATGCAAAAATCAATGTTATTAATCATATTAGCCAATTAATGGAGAAAATAATTTAATCATTAACCAATACATATGGGAAAGAAATTTGACAAAATTTAACACCCTTTGAGGATTTTAATTTAATTCTCAGAAGATTAAAAATAAAAGAAAACTTCCCCGACCTGAAAGAAGGCATCGGTAAAAAAATAAAATAAAATCTACAGCTTACATCCTAGCAATGATGAAAGACTGAATGCTTCACCTTGTAGCAAGATAAAGATGTTTACCTTCAGTTTCTATTCAATGTTGTCCTGCAGGACTTAGCAAGTGCAACAAGGCAAGAAAAAGAAAAAGCAAGTAGATTGAAAAGAAGAACAAAACTGGCTTTATATGTGGACATTAAGCCCAAGAATCTATAATAAGGCCAACGTGCAAAAATCACTCGCATTTGTATATGCTACCAACTAAATGCTATGAATTTAAAAATTTTAAATACCATTTTATAAAAGCTTAAAAACGTGAAATCTTTAGGGATAAATTTAGCAAACTACATAAAAGACCTCTAGAGCAAAATAATAAAATATTGCCAAGAGAAACTACAGAGTACATAAATAAATGGAAAGACCTATGAAGTTCACGCACTGGAAAACTCAATACTGTTAAGATGGTCAGTTATTCCAAACTGATCTATATAATCAATATAATCCCAATCAAAGTCCCAGCAGGATTTTTTTCTGGTAGAAATTGACAAGCTGTTTTTAAAAGTGATACAGAACTGTAAAGGACCTAAACAAAGATGGAGGACTTACTCTACCTGTTCTAAAATTTGTTATAAAGCTTCAATACTCAAAACAATGTGGTGAAAGCAGACAAATGATCAATGGGATGAAGGGTGCAGAAACAGATCCATAGTTAAACGGTCAGATGATTTCAATAAAGGCACCAGAGTAATGCAGGGGAAAAAGGGAAGTCTTCTCAACAAATGATACTGGAAACCCATATGGAAGAAAAAGAACCCATATTCCCACTTCATACTATAAACAAAAATTCAAGGTGTATTACAGACTTGAACATAAAAGAGAAAACTACAAAGCTGCAAGAAGAAAATGTAGGAGAATCATTTCATGACCTTTAGGGATTTCCGAGAGCACACAGAAGGCATTAACCATAAAGCATAACTGATGAACTGGACTCCATAAAAACTTTAAAACTACTGCTCATCAAAAGATACTGTAAAAAAAATAAATAGGAAAGTCACAGACGGGAAGAAAATATTCATAATACATCTACCTGAAAACTGAGTGTATCCAAGATACATACAAAACTCCTTCAATTCAAGAATAAAAATTCAAGTAACAACAACAACAACAACAAAATGGACCAGAGACTTGGGGTGCCTGGGTGGTTCAGTCAGTTAGGCATCGACTTCAGCTCAGGTCATGATCTCACAGTTTGTGGGTTTGAGCCCCACATCGGGCTCTGTGCCGACAGCTCAGAGCCTGGAGCCTGCTTTGGATTCTGTGTCTCCCTCTCTCTCAAACATAAACATTAAAATTTTTTTTTTAAAAAAATGGACCAAAGACTTGAGCAGATACTTCATAACGGAAAAAATATAAATGGCCCGTGGGCATATGAAAAGTTGCTCAACATCATTAGTCACCAGGAAGACGCAAATTAGAACCATGAGAAGACACCACCACACACGCACCAGAATGGCTAAAACGAAAAAGCCGGATAAGCCCGAACGTTGAGGACATGAGACAACCGAGACTCACACACATAGCTGGTGGAGATATAAAGTGATTCATTCATTTAGAAGCTGTTTGGCAGTTTCTCAAAAAGTTAAACATAGAAACTACCCCATGGCCGATTAATTACACTCATAGGTATTTACCCATGAGATATGACGATATATGTCCACAAGAGCTTACACAAGAAATCTTCGCAGCAGTTTTACCCCAATACCCCAAACTGCAAGCAGCCTAGGTGTCCATCCACAGGAAAATGAACAAACTGGCACACCCGTAATTTTATATTCACATAATCATACAATGAGAAGAAACAACAACATGGATGAATACGAGGAGTACATACCGTATAGTCCCATTTCTGTGACATCTAGGCTAGGCAAAACTAGTCTACGGTGACAGAATCAGAACAGGGTTGTCTGGGTCAGGGAGTGGGAAGGGACACTGGAGAGCTCTCTAAACTCACACAAATAGTCTGTGACCTTCAAATGAGTATGGATTAGACGAACATGTGCATTTGTCAAAATTGACTGAACTGTACATCTAAGATATGGGCACTTCACCACATGTAAATTATACCTTATTACAAAGTAAACAATTTGCTTTAGATACTGTGAATAACTTTATACCAATATATTCGATAACTCAGAGGAAATGAACTAATTCCTAGAAAAACAGAACTAATCTAAAGTAACTCAAGAAAAAAATATGGCACAAGAACAGATGCTCAGATCAATGGAACAGAATAGGGAACCCAGAAATGGACCCACAAATGTATGGCCAACTAATCTTTGACAAAGCAGGAAAGAATATCCAATGGAATAAAGACAGTCTCTTTAACAAGCAGTGCTGGGAAAACTGGACAGCAACATGCAGAAGAGTGAACCTGGACCACTTTCTTACATCAGACACAAAACTAAACTCAAAATGAATGAAAGACCTAAACATAAGATAGGAAGCCATCAAAATCCTAGAGAAACAAGCAGGCAAAAATCTCTTCGATCTTGGCCACAGTAACTTCTTGCTCAACAAGTGTCAGGAGCCAAGGGAAACAAAAGCAAAAATGAACCACTGGGACCTCATCAAAATCAAAAGCTTCTGCACAGCGAAGGAAACAATCAGCAAAACGAGAAGGCCACTGACATAATGGAAGAACATATTTGCAAATGACATATCAGATAAAGGGTCAGTATCCAAAATCTTTAAAGAACTTATCCAACTCAACACCCAAAAAACAAGTAGTCCAGTAAAGAAATGAGCAAAAGACATGAATAGACACTTCTCCAAAGAAGACATCCAGATGGCCAACACATGAAAAAATGCTCAACTTCACTCATCATCAGGGAAATACAAATCAAAACCACAATGAGATACCACCTCACTCCTGTCAGAATAGCTAACATTAACAACTCAGGCAACAACAGATGTTGGCGAGATGTGGAGAAAGAGAATCTCTTTTGCATTGTTGGCGGGAATCCAAGCTGGTACAGCCCCTCTGGAAAACAGTATGGAGGTTCCTCAAGAAACTAAAAATAGAACTACTCTACGACCCAGCAATGGCACTACTAAGTATTTATCCAAGGGATACAGGTGTGCTGTTTCGAAGGGACACATGCACCCCCATGTTTAGAGCAGCACTATCAACAACAGCCAAAGTATGGAAAGAGCCCAAATGTCCATCGATGGATGAATGGATAAAGAAGATGTGGTATATATATACAATGAAGTATTATTCAGCAATCAAAAAGAATGAAATTTTGCCACTTGCAACTACATGGACGCAACTGGAGGGTACTATGCTAAGTGAAATTAGTCAGTCAGAGAAAGACAAATATATGACTTCACTCAGATGAGGACTTTAAGAGACAAAACAGATGAACATAAGGGAAGGGAAACAAAAATAATATAAAAATAGGGAGGAGTACAAAACATAAGAGACTCATAAATATGGAGAACAAACAGAGGGTTACAGGAGGGGGTGTCGGAGGGCGGATGGGCTAAATTGGTAAGGAGCACAAAGGAATCTATTCCTGAAATCATTGTTGCACTATATGCTAACTAATTTGGATGTAAATTTTAAAAATAAATAAATAAATAAAATTTAAAAATTTTTTTAAAAATAGAAGGCCATAAAAGCTGTATGACTGTTAAAGAAATGGAATCACTGGTCAAATACATATATGTATAGAAAATTCTAGGCCTTGGGGTGCCTAGGTGGCTCAGTTGGTTAAGCGCCCAACTTCGGTTCAGGTCATGATCTCACAGTTCATGAGTTCGAGCACCATATCAGGCTCTGTGCTGACAGCTCAGAGCCTGGAGCCTGCTTCGGATTCTGTGTCTCCCTCTCTCTGCCCTTCCCCAATTCACGTTCTGTCTCTTTCTCAAAAATAAATAAACATTAAAAAATTTTTTTACAGAAAATTCTAGGCCCAGATGGTTACATCAGTGAATTCTATCAGACGAAGAACCAATTCTAATATTATAAAAATGCTTCCAGAGAATAGAGAAAGAGGTAATATACTCCAAACTGTTTTCATGAGCCAGAACAACCTTGCTACCCAAATCTGAAAAGCTCAATATATGAAAGGAAAAGTATAAGCCAATATGATTCATGAATATAAATGTAAAGATTCTAAATAACCAAATCTAACAATATACAAAAAGAACCATTACCAAGCTGGGTTTATACCAGGAATACAGAGTTGACTGAATGTTAGAAAACTGATGTAATTCAACACATAAACAGATTAAAGAAAAAAAGTTTTGATCCACAGCTACAAAAGAAAGTGTTACAAACAAACATCCACTCATGATTTTTAAAAAACAAAAAAGAAATAACCAAACAACCCTTGGCAAACAAGAAAAAGAAGTTCTTTCACTTAATTAATAATATCTAACAAAATCCTGCAGAAAACATTAGTCTTTAATGATGAAACACTGAAAACTTTCAATACTGAGAACAAGACAAGAATGCCACTTGTCATTTCTTGGAGGTCCTTGCTAGGGCACTTATGCAAAAAAAGAAATAAAAAGGAAAAGAGCAGACATAAGGGCGTTTAGGTGGCTCAGTCGGTTAAACGTCCGACTTTGGCTCAGGTCATGATTTCACAGTTCCTGAGTTCGAGCCTCGTGTCAGGCTCTGTGCTGACAGCTAGGAGTCTGGAGCCTGCTTCAGATTCTGTGTCTCCCTCTATCTCGGCCCCTCCCCTGCTTTTGCTCGCTTTCTCTCTCTCTCTCTCTCAAAAATAAACATTAAAAGTGTTTTTTAATTTAAAAAAAAGCAGATATATTCATGGATCAGAGGACTGAATATTGCAAAAAAATTACTGATTGATTTATATATCTAATGCAACTCTAAGAGAAATCTTAACTGGGGTTGATGGTTTATTTTCTTACTTATTTTTTGACTTTGTTGATTCTCCCCATATTGTTTACATTTTTAGCTCAAAATAATCATGACTATATCAGTATATAAAACATAAACGTATCATTTAGGTTAAAACTCTAAACTATAGTATGTAAAAGAAATGTTGATATCCAAATATCATCAGTTTAAATTAGAACTATTGCCACCCAATATAGTCCATGGACTATTCACACTGTTTGCAGATTTTATATTGTTTGTTTTCAAAACAACAAGATCTTTATTGCTGTTTCTGATTGTAAGATATATTCAATTTTTACACTTGACCTTAGCCAAAAGGCCGAGAAGTGATGAGATATATATTGAATTTTTATTGAAACTATTCAAATGCCCAAATGTAGAAGATATCTAATGCCCCAGAAGTAAGTCAGGTATACCTGCTTCCAGATTTTGTTCTATGCATAATTACACCTACTTATATGTTTTCTTAGGGTATTTTTCATGCACAGTGAAAACTACCAAACGTCAACAGCTCAACTACCTGCTGTACTTATTATAGTCTGAGAGAGAACCAAAAGAAAAAAAAGTTAAACTGGTAGAATTTTCCCATACACTTCACCTGTGCTAATTTATGAGCGTGTTCACCCACTTAATGCTTATAAAATAAAAACTTACTGTATTATATACTCCTTCAATAGTTTCTGGCCCTTCGGTGGATTTGGCCACTACTTTCAGCTTTCCAGGTGACCCTTTCTCCAACTGTTGAACCTGGTAAGGATAAAACACGTAATGATTCTGTGTAAACGTGACAGAAAATAAATGGGTCATAGGGTGCACACACGTGTGTGTATGTGTGTGCGCGTTTAGGTTTTTGGACCAGGTAAAGACAGAGAAAGAAAGGACTGTCACAAAATACAGTTTGGAGGTAAGACTACATTAATGGACTAGTTGGTGGTAACAAAAGGAGTGAGGGACGCTTTGTAGGTGTTGGCTTAATAAATCGCATAGACTATAGCGCCACTTACTGACTACTGAGATAGGCCCGAAAGATGAGCTGGGGAATACATTTAGGAAGAAAATCAAGAATTTCATTTTTGTCTTAATAAATTTGAAATGCTTATGAGGAATTCAAACAGAGATATCCCACAGCCAAATGGATAAATGGGTGTGGAGTTCAGGAGAGAGGCCTGAGCAGGATATATAAATCTGAGAGCCATTATACCATCGAGACAATAAAGTATGGACCTAACGAGGACCGCCCAGGTAAAATGAGCAGAGAAGAGAAGAAGGAGCAGGTGCTCTGACATTTACAGGTCAAGGAGATGCGGAACCCCAGGTTGTGGGACCAGAAAGGTCAAGAAAGGAGAATGTTTTGGGGGCCTGGGTGGCCCAGTCGGTTAAGCATCTGACTTTGGCTTAGGTCATGATCTCATGGTTCGTGGGTTCGAGCCCCGTGTCAGGCTCTGTGCTGACAGCTCAGAGCCTGGAGCCTGCTTCAGATGCTGTGTCTCCCCTTCTCTCTGCTCCTCCCCAACTCATGCTTTCTCTGTCTCTCAAAAATGAATAAACGTTAAAAAAAATTTAAAAAGAAAAAGGAGAATATTTCAAACGGAAGGCATGTCAATTTCACAAATGCTACCCAGAAGCCTATCACATAAGGACAGAGATAAGACCATTGGCTTTGACGG